CTCTGGGGTGGGGCCACTGGGGCTTCCTGGACGAGGGGGGGGGGAATACTCACGTCCCGGGAAGGGCATTATGGGTTTTGGGGGTGGCTTCTGGTGGCTGCATGCGGGCCCTCAGGTGGTCTATAGCGGTGGTCATGGGTCGCTGATCCAGTGGTCTAGCTGTGTTGGGGTGGGTTTGGGGTGGGCATGGGGGGCTTAGGTTTCTGGGGTCGTGCTGCCCCTGGGCTGTGGTCCTGGTGGGGCCTGGGGGACTTGGGCCCTGGCAGGCAGTTGCCGGGCTATTTTGTACCCAGAAATACTCACTAAATACAGTCAAATTGTAATTGATTGTTGCTACAGAAAGACAGTAAAAATATATGGTTTAGTATCTAAAAATGAATAAAATAATAATAATAATAAATAATAATAATAATAATAATGACAAACTATTGAAACAGTTTAAACCTGTTTTTATTACGTAACAAGGCTCATCAAAGTAAAAAAAAAATTGCTAAATTGTTTGACCAGTTGGTCAGGTCCTCAACCTTGGTCAGGATTATAAAAATAACTTGTTTTTCTTACATTATTTTTGTTACAGATGCTGAGAAGGAACAGAGTCCAGAGAGTCTCAGGATTGTTCTGATGGGAAAAACTGGCTGTGGAAAGAGTTCATCAGGAAACACTATTCTGGAAAGAAAAGAGTTTGAAGCAGAATTATCTCAACAGTCAGTCACTAAAAGCTGTCAGAAAGCTCAGACTGAGGTCGACGGTCGTTCTGTTGTTGTTGTTGACACTCCTGGTCTGTTTGACAACACTTTGTCTCCTGATGAAATTAATGAAGAGATGGTGAAATGTATCAGTCTGCTGGCTCCAGGACCACATGTCTTCCTGCTGGTGTTGTCATTTGGCAGATTCACACCAGAGGAGAAGCAGACACTAGAACTTATCAAGAAAGTTTTTGGAAAAAATTCAGAAAAGTTCACCATCGTTCTTTTCACCAAAGGAGACGAGCTGGAATATGGCAAGAAAACCATTGAAAAGTACATTGAAAACTGTGATGATTCATGTAAGAAACTGATCTCTGACTGTGGAAGAAGATATCATGTGTTTAATAATCGTGCTGAAAACAATCAAACACAAGTCAGTGAGCTGATAGAGAAGATCGACACCATGGTGAAGGAAAATGGAGGCAGCTGCTACACCAACGAGATGCTGCAGGAAGCTGAAGCTGCAATACAGAAACAAATGGAGAGAATCCTGAAGGAAAAAGAAGAAGAGATTAAAAAACAGAGAGAGGAGCTGGAAAGAAAACATGAGGAAGAAACAGAAGAAATGAGAAGAAGAATGGAAGAACAGAGAGCAGACATGGAAAAGGAGAGAAAAATAAAAAATGTACAACTTGAAAAAATGGAAGAAAATATCAAGAAAGAGCGGGAGCAGAGAGAGAGAGAACAGAAAGTAAGAGAGGAAGAAGAGAAGAAAAGAAAAGAGGAAGAAGAACGACAGCAAAAAGAGTGGGAGAGAGAACGAGAAGCTTTGGAGAAAAGAATACAATCAGAATCAGAAGAAAAAGAGACGATCGACAGAAAACTGGAGCAGATGAGAAAAGAGATGGAAGAAAAACGAGAAGCCAGAGAAAAAGAAAGAAAAGAGTGGTGGGAGAAACGAGAGAGAGAGGAAGACGAGAGATGGGAAGAAGAGAAAATGAAACTGAAAAAACTTCAAGAAGAACTTGAGAAAGAAAGAGAAGAATATGAAAATAAAATAAAAGAAGAAGACCAGAAGAGAAGAGAAGAAGAAGAGAAGGAGAGAAAAGTGTTGGGGGAAAACTACCAGAGAGAAATGAAGGAGATGAAGAAGAAATATGAAGAGGAGGCCAGAAAACAAGCTGAAGAGTTTAATGAGTTCAACAAGAAATACAAGAAAGAACTTGAAGCTTTGATAGAAAAACATGACGAGGAACTGAAGGCTCTGAAGGAAAAACATGACAAAGAAATGCAGCAAAAAGAGGAATCTCACAGCAAACAGTATAATCTGCTAAACATTCTCAAAACTCAGAGAGAAAATGACCTAAGAGCTGATGCAGCAAAAGAACATAAACTACTAAAAGATGAAAGTGATGAGAAACAGACACAAATTAATGACTTAGAAAAGTTAAAGACAAAGCATGAAGAGGAATTAAAGGAGCTGAAGAAAACGTTTACAGAGAAACATTGTACAATCAGCTAAACTGTCCTCCTGCTGACAGTTTTATTCTTGCATGTTATTAATCATCAAACATGGACCTAAAATCCCACAGATCTGTTCATATCTCAGAGTGACTGACAGGACTGATCTCCATCTGCGTCTGGCAGCAGCAGCTTCATACCTGAACAACTGAAGTAGTCAGACCAAGGTTTAATAATGATGCTCTTACTACTATCAGGCATCCAGCCTGATCCTGGTATTAATATTTGGTATACCACACCTGAGGATTTACAGGTGCTGGTCATAAAATTAGAATATCATGAAAAAGTAGATTTATTTCAGTAATTCCATTTAAAAAGTGAAACTTGTATATTATATTCATA